AGGATGGCTCAGCTTAAAAAAAAAAAAAAGTGTAAAAATAAATGGTTAAACAACCCCTCCCCCCAAAAAAAACAAAACAAAAACCCCATGGTAATTGAGGTACAAATAACACTGATGCATGTTATACACTAAAGCCATATTCCTATGAGGACATAGTGTGGAACAATGGTTTCTAAAGGCCGCTCCACAGAACAGTGCCAGTAGGTGAAAAACTGCACCACTCATAGTGAAATATGAACAAGAGGACAATGAGTAAAATTTTCACAGTGCTGTATTTAGCCAAAATTCTTACTTTGAGATTGTATCCTTCCTACTTTGTAGCTGTTAAATTTATCTTTTATTGCAAAAGTAATACTATATTTCTTCATTTACTTTTGCTTTGCTTTGTTGTATTTTTAATGTACTTTCTTGTCCAAACAAAAAGTTGCAACTCCTTACTGATAATTAAAATCCCTTTTGAAACTTGGCCAGTCCATGAAATTGAAAGGCGTGGGAATCACAGTCAGGCATTAGCCACAAAGAAACCTGAAGTAAAGGGCACACACCCATTTTTCATTGGCCCAAGCCCTCAGTGAAACTTCTGTGGGGCTCCAGGTGGTCCTCCTGAATGACCCCATTTTCTTCAGGAGGACCTGGACTTGGATCAGAGCTCTTTACCTCGTCCCATGAGCAGCCGGAGTTTCCCACGAAGCTTGGATGACTCTGAGGAAGAGGATGATGAAGACAGTGGGCATAGCTCCAGAAGGAGGGGAAGCATCTCCAGTGGAGTTTCGTATGAAGAGTTTCAAGTGTAAGTATAAAAGAATTGCGGTACAACTTTGCTCTTACCCACTTCCTTTGTCCTGTTCTTGTCAAATATATTATGATATTTCTACATGTTATAGGCCCGACAATGCAATTATGTACATATCATCTTGTACAGTTTTGCTTTAAATCAGTTAAGAGAAGAAGGAGAAGAAATATGCATTCAGACCATCTTTTATAGTTACGTAATTCCCTTTACCAGTGCTCTTTGTTTCTTCATGTGCTTTTAATTACCGTACTGTCTGGGATCACTTGCTTTCAGACTGAAGAACTTCCTGTAGTAATCTTCTAAAGCAGGCCTGCTTGCATGAATTCTCTCAGTTTTCCTTGATCTAAGAATATTTTTAATTCACTTTCATTTCCTTCTGGCCTGCATTGTTACTGATTAGAAGCCAGCTGTTCATCTTACTGAGGTTCCCTTATATGTGACGCGTCATTTTTCTCTGGCTGCTTTCAAGATTTTTTTCTGTCTTTACCGTTCAGTATTTTTACTATATGTCTGAGAGTGGCTGTCTTTGCAGTTATCCTACTTGATGTTCATTAAGCTTCTTGGATGTGTAATATTTTCATCAAATTTAGTAAGTTTTCAACCAGTATGTCTTCAAATATTTTTCTGTTCCTTTCCTTCTGGGACTCCTGGTATATGTATGTTGGGGTGCATAATGTTAACCCTTATTTCTCTTAGGCTCTGTTCATCTTTCTTCATTCTTTTTTGGCTCTGTTCTTCAGATTGCATAGCGTCTATCCATCCCTCTCAAGTTCACTGATTTATTCTTCTGCCTGCTCAGATCTACTGTTGAGACTCTCTAGTGAATTTTTCATTTCATGGATTGTACTTTTCAACTCCAGAATTTCTATTTGGTTCTTTTTAATAATTTCTCTCTCTTTATTGATATTCTCTACTTGATGAGAAAATGACATCATACTATCCTTTATTTAAGCATGATTTCCTTTATTTCTTTGACTATATTTATAATAGCTACTTTGAACTCTTTGTCTAATAAGTCTAGCTGAGCCCTCTCAAAGATAATTTCTGTTACCTGCTTTTTTTTTCCTGTGGTGTGGGTCACATTTTCCTGTTTCTTTGCATGTCTCACAATTTTTTATTGAAAACTGAAGGTGTTAAATAACATATTATAGTAATTCTGAATACAGTAATACCTTGGTTTACGAGCATAATTCGTCCCGGAAACAAACTACTTATATTGCAAGACATCGCTCATTTACCATGTTAAAATGTATTAGAAATGTCTGCTCATCTTGTGGAACGCTCGCAAACCAAGTTATTCGCAATCCAAGGTTTTACTGTGCTAATTTCCCTGCCCCCCAGGGTGTATTTTTGTTGTTGTGTGTTTGTTCTTTAGTGAAGTCTTGTTTCCTCCACATGGTGAAGCCTCTGATGTGTCCCTCTCAGAGGGCACAGCCATGACCATGCACACAGTCATCCTGGGAAGACAGTGACTTTAGCAGGACTCTCATTGTCTTCCCTGATCTCTCCGTTAAGTCTTCTGTCTCTGTTGATATCACTACCACCTCTTAGGTTCCACTAATTGTTGGCTGATTGGTCTTTTGTTTTCAGTAATGCCTTGGGATAAAAATTGCTCTATAGTCCCATCCAATTAAATGCAGGCCCCTTTGAGGGGTAGTTTTTGAGGCCAGTCTTTAGCTGTCTTCTTAGCTGCCTCTTTCCTGGTTCTCTCTGGTCAACTAGCTGGTAAGCAAGTTAACTTGTTGATCTCATGAAGACCAGTCTCCTGTTAACTGCTTATCACCACCACCTCCATTGTTTTCAAGAGCACTCTTAGGCTTGAATTACCCCACACTTTGTTCCAAATAAATACAGTTCACTTGGAGGAAGCTTTGGAGCTTTCTCTCTTACAGCCTGACTCTACAGAGGCAAAACATCTATGCCACTGCCCCAGAGCTTGGGGCAGGGACAGCGGCCCATCTCTCTCACAGTGACTGCCTGCTTCCTGAATAAGGCATTGGGTTGGAATGGTAGACTGTGGTCTTCTCAGCCTGCCTCTCCTGGCATGGAAACTCCACCCTACACTTGGAAGTTGAATGGGGAAAGAGTCTCAACCTCAAAGCCACTTTTGCCTAGATTAGAGCCTCTGCCACATGGATTTGGAGGTGGAGGCTTAGAGATGAGAAATGCTGGCAGCCTGTCCCTCCCTGGGAGATACTGTAGCCCTCCATTGGGAGCTGAGGGGAGAGGGAGCCCTGTGACCTTTGCCCCACACACCCAGCGTGGTGCTTCCCTGTTACCGAGCTGGGGGCAGGAGAGAGGGAGCAGATCGTGGCTCACATGTCACAGTCTCTCATTCTTCTTACTGAAATTTAGTGGATTTTATAAAATAAATGCTTCTTTATTTGCTCTATGCCCTTAAGAAAATTTCCAGAAATTAAAACAATTTAAAAAAAAATTCAACAGTTATGGTTCTTTCACTGGAAGAGGGCCTACAAAACCCATTCCAGAAGTTGTCTCCTGTTTATATTTTTAAAGTATTTATATAAACATTTTGCTTATTCAAAATAACGGGATCATAAGTGAGTATACTATTTTCTAACTTTTATTTACTTACTATATTGTGAACATCACTCTATTTCACTAAATATTGTCACAATATAATTTCTGGTGTTTGCTTAGAATTCCATTGTAGACATGTACAATAACATAGTTAAATAATGTCATATTAATTATTTAATGTCACTTTTCATTGCCCTATTAATAAGAAAAACTCTATTAAATACCCTCGTAGCCAAAAATCACACATATGCTTAATTTGTTCCTTTAGAAAATTTTCAGAAAAAGGAATAAATGAATAAAAGGTAGGCATACATTTTGAAGACTTCTGATACAATGTTGACTTGCAGAGATGCTCTTTCAGTTAGCAGCCCCACCAGCAATGTATGAGAGTTTATCTCTAGAGTTTGAGACTACAGGAAAATGTTTCAGATGATCATATTGTTTAAGAAAACACCTTAGCACTTCCATTTGAAAAGCCAAGCGGGCTGAAAAGACAACAATGCCCAGTGGCTTTGTCCCTCCCCACTGTGGTTTCCTGCAGCCTAGTGAGAAGAGTGGACCGAATGGAGCACTCCATCGGCAGCATTGTGTCCAAGATTGATGCTGTGATCGTGAAGCTGGAGATCATGGAGCGGGCCAAACTGAAGAGAAGGGAAGTGCTGGGAAGGCTACTGGACGGGGTGGCCGAGGTGAGTGGTCATCTGAAACAGAAACACTCTGGTTCTATAAAATATCAGTGTTGTCGTACTTGTAACCCTTAATCTAAGAGGTTTCTCTATCTCCATAACTGTAGATTAAGTAATAGTCTAAAGATGTTACTTTCTTAATACTCCACATGCCTACCTTCACTGGATGGTAGAATTAAGCAAAAAAAGCTACTGTAGTAACTGAGAATTGCTGTTATGGGCTGTAAATCTCCAGCCTTACCTAATTACAAGCAGATTATTTGGCCCCTAAATTTCCTAAGACAGTTAGTTTCTAAATTCAGGAATATGCATCAATCTACCCCTAACATCCTGGTTTCTTTTTCCTTTATTAGGATGAAAGACTGGGTCGTGACAGTGAAATCCACAGGGAACAAATGGAACGGCTAGTGCGGGAAGAGTTGGAACGCTGGGAATGTGATGATGCAGCTTCCCAAATAAGTCATGGTTTAGGCACACCCGTGGGACTAAATGGCCAGCCTCGCCCCAGAAGCTCCCGCCCTTCTTCCTCTCAGTCCACGGAAGGAATAGAAGGTGGAGGTGGAACTGGGAGTTCCAATACCCACGTGTAGGACGTTTGTTAGTAAATGTGTGCCTACTAGGTGAGAAGGCAGCTGTCCTGAGTTTCCGTAGCCAGGACACTACAGTAAGTCTCACTTAACGTTGCTGGTAGGTTCTTGGAACTGTGGTGAAACGACGTATAACGAAACCATTGTTACCACAGGCTAATTGACATAAACAAGTATGTAGTTCCTACAGCATCCAAGTTATAACTAAACGATGTTATTCTAAGTCCTGCTTATTTATATGCCCTCATCACCATATGATGCTGGTCTTTGTGACTAATTGTTCATTCTTCTGCACTTTAATTTATTTTAGGTAAATTTTTCCCATGGATCAAAGAAGATTTTTTTTTTTACTTTTTCTCATATAAGAAATTAGTTGTAAATATTGAGTACAGAAAAAAAATCTTTGTAAAGTTTTCAGAGCGGTATGCCCACTTGCTACCATGACTGAGTCTTCTCAGTTTACAATGAAGTCGCCTTTTAAAGCTAGAAGAGAACTGTCAAAAGGCTTCTGAGTTTTATTTTCAATCACAAAAATCAGTATTGTCATCTTTGCCCAATGTGTGAAGGGAAAGTAGGGGCGTTCCTTCCCACTCAGGCCGAGGTCATGGGCTTACTACATAGCTTTCTTTTTAAAAAGGAGCCTTTTATTTCACCTACCTTCCTGGGGTAAGCTTTTCTAAAAGATGAGCTAGAAAAGAACTCCAAAGAATAGAATGGTTATGTAGTCATTATGCTAAAATTTGTATGAATGGTGAAGGCAAATGTTGAATACTATGCTTTTTTGTTATTTTATCATATCTAATATCTGTTGGAATAACTGTTTTCACTTAATTTTTACATTATTTTTGCTCTCATTTGAAATGAGCTGCATGAAACCACCAAAGATCAGTTATGAGTTAAAATGTCATCTCTAATCATAACATAGTAGAATTGGAAGGAGCCCTATCACTAAGTTGGACTTTTTCTCATCATTGGTTTAGTATCAAGATTTATTAATATATTCCCTTTCCCATATGACTCAACTTATTTGCAAGTAACTGTAATGTTGTAACTAATCTAGGACGAACAACTTACTAAAACTTTTTAGTATGCATAGAAAGTTTTCACTCAGCAAATTTGTTCATTTTAAATAAAATTTTAAACATGTTTTTAAATTCATATAAAAATATAAAACTAAAATTTGAGTTTTATACTGTTTAAAGAATAAACATCTCAAATACTCTTAGTTCTGCAACGAAACTAGAATTTCTAATCTAAATGAGCTCAATTTAATGAAAAGGAGTTTTTCGTATTGAAAGTTCATCCATCATCAGAAAGTATCAGCCAAAGTTTGAGTTTGAAGCAATTATTTTTTTCATTAGGAAAGGGTCTCAGCAAATTTATGGGGAAGATTTCTTAGTAAAAAAATAAAAATCTTATTTTTCAAAAGTTTTAAGTAAGGTGACCTTTTGGGAGCTAATGTGACAAGCAAAAGAGAATGCAATGCTGGTGAATAACTCATTTGGAGAACAATAGAAGAGAGGCCTGTTTTTAAATGCTATGTTTTAATGCACATTTGGTTCATTTAATTGGTAGAACATGTCAGTCAAATCTTCAATGAAAACATGAGCAAACAAACTTTCTAAGATGGCTTCTACAGAAATGCTGAACACTGGGTTTCTTTCATAGTTATTTCCCATAGCTTCATCTCCATCTTTATTTGTAGTATGGTACAAAAGTCCTTTATTACTAGGTACGAACGTTTGCATTCCAGGAATAGTGAGTGTATGTATTTATGTATGTGTACCATGTTGTTACATGTAAACAAACTTCAATTTGAAGTGCAGCTATTATGTGGTATCCATGTGTGTTGACCATGTGCCATATATTAATTATGGTCACTAGAAAGTCTTTTATGATACTTATTGTTAAACTTTTTATTTTTATTTCACTTGTAAAATTTTGCAAAATTCTTTCTCTTTACCCATAAGTTGCCTATTTTTGTTTTTTTAGTCATGGAAAATTCCCTCCTTATCCCTCCCCTATCATCTTCCCTTCTATATTAATATTATTACTATGTTACATATGCAGGTCTCTCTCAACAATTGAGCATTTCATTAATGTATAATACTGAGCACTTTACTTCTTAATAAAGACTTGATATAAAAGTAGATGTAAGAGTTGTCTGTTTCCTAAGTAGAAGCAGTTAGATAATTTGCCTTGTATCATGAGCCTGATAGTAAAGGCTTAAACTTTCAAAAGTTGTCTCCTCTTTTTATGTCCAAAAATAACGTGATTGACACGTTACTTCTTCTGCAGTATGCACCTCTAGGACGTTATTATGATTGTGTAGTATTTCCTAGTGTGCAACCATCACATTTTTCTTATGCATTCCTATAGTGCGTGGTTAGCTCAAATTTTTCTGCTATTCCAAATCTTTGTAAGTCATCCCCTTGTTGACTTTCCATGAGTCCCTCAGTGGGTACATAACAGGAGTCAGAGTGCTGAGTCCCAGGTATACACGTATACATATTTAATGTTACCCAAAACTGTCAGGTTGCCCACCAGAATGACTGCACCAGTCTACAATTCCACTACAAGAATGAGAGCACCACGTTTATCCAACCCTCACAAGCATTGGTATCATCCAGCTTTCTAATCTTTGTTAATGGAATGGTTTTAAAGTGTGGTCTCATTTTATTTTGCATCTCTCTGATTCCTAACAAGGTTAGTCATCTTCTCATACAGTTGATCAACATTTGGGTTTCTGTTTTTATAGATTGCCTATTAAACCCTTGAAAATCTTATACTCTGATCAATGGGAAACAAGTATGTTTTTTTGTTCATTGCCTATTTTTCCATTGGGTCAAGGTCTTTTTTGTTGATTTGCAAAATTTCCTTGGTTTAAGTATTAATTCCTTATCAGTTGTGGACTCTGTTAATATCTCTCATCTAACTGATGACCTTGTCAAGGTTTCCTTCATTTTTTTTTTAATATAGTTAATATGTGTTATATAATATGTGTTAAAATAAGTTTGATGGGTTCCTAGGGATGGGTGGAGAAAAAAATCCCCCTGAAATTTAATTGGAATTGCATTGAATTTATTGATTAGTTTGGGGAGAACTGACATCCTCACAATATTAGAAACATAACTCTCCATTTATCCAGAACTTCCTTAATGTCCTTTAAGTGTTCCTTAAAATTTCTTAAAGCTCTTACATATTCTTTAACATGGTTTTATTGCTACTATGAACAGAATTTTGTCTTCCATTATATTTTCTGGTTGGTTATTGCTGATATAACGAAAATTACTAATTTTTTATAAATTAATCATGCATCACACTTGAACTGCTTTGCTAGAGCTAATAGATTCTGTATTGATTCTCTGGGTTTTCTATGTAGAAGACCAGCTCATTTGTAATAAGGAGGATAGTACTGTGTTAGAGAGTAGCAGTGATAGTAGACATGCTTTTCTTATTTCTGGTCTTAATGAAAATGTGTTTTAGTTTATGTTCCTCTAAAAGAAAAGCCAAAGGCTTGAGTTCAGGTAGCTTGTTTTGGAGGTGATACTAGAAAACTGGGGTAGGAAACAGAGAGTGAGCCAGGAAAGGAGGGAATGCCAATATACAGGTGTGCGACTGAAGTTGCCCTGTACACAACGGGAGCTCAGTTCCACCTGAGTACACTACGGAATGCCTCCCATCAAGCCCCTGTCTGAAGAACATGAAGCCGGAGCATCTGTCCACTGGCCCCGGTCCCTACTTGAGGGGAGTCCCAGGGGTGTTAACACCTACACTTTCAGGCTGTGCTTGCCCTCAGGTTGAGCAGGTTCAGCTTTGGAAAAGGCCTTACAGCAGAAAAGTGAAGAGATTTTGTTGCAGGCTTGGGGTAGGGTGCTGTCAACATGATCTGAGATCACATGGAACTGCAACTGAAATCAGAGGTACAGAGACTATGTGACACAGCACCTACCACCTCCACCCTTCACCACTCAGATCCACTCATGCCCGCATTAAGTCCACTCCGGACTTTTTGAGGGAGGCCAGATATGATCTCTAAAACGTACAATACAGGAAGGTTAGTGGAACTAGCTAGTCCCATTGCCGCTGCTTGTCACAAGGCCACAGTTTTTTCTCATCTCTCTCCTCTCTACCAGCTTTTCTAGAGTTCCCTCGTTGGCCAGTACATCGCTACATCGCTCACCTGGTGCATTGATCCACACCTTGTTTGCTGAGGGTTCAAAGCCTTTGGTTCCCTTGTCCTTTTTTTAGGCTGCCCTTGTTGGGGTTGCCTATTTACTGTAAACACTGAGCATGAAAACACCCAGTTACCTGTGTGCATTTGTTATGTAATAGTAAAGTCTAGCCTTTCCTAAGAGAGATGACCAACGTGATCATTGCTTTCTTTGCCTGCTGTTCCACCAGTGTGGGATCTCAAAGTGAACAAGTGGCAGACAGTTTCAGGTTGAGTAGAACCCCGCTGTACTCCCAGGTGAAAGTACCCCTCCACTCTTGAGGAGTCAAGAGCTCTAATCCAGCAGAGCCTAAAGCTGCAGAGACAGGAAGCACAGATTTTGCAAATGGTTTAGTAGGAATGATACTGAGAGAGTCCAATATCACTCGGTACATGGACCTGTGTATTCTAACTGTTGGGAACAGGCACTCTTTGTTTAATGTTTACACAAAGGACCAGATTGTAAATATTTTAGGCTTTATGAACCATACCAGCCTCTGTCACAACTACTTTACCATCATAGTGCAAAAACAGCCATAGACAATACAAATATGAATGAGTATGGCTGGGTTCCAATAAAATTTTGTTTACACAAACAGGCAGTGGGCAGGATTTAACCTGTAGGCCACAGTTTACCAACCCCTGGTTTAATGCATATTACACATCCTGCAGGATGACACTCCAGTCACTGCTGAGTGTGTCATCCATGAATTGGTACTAGCATGATACTGGTAACCAGTGGGATGTCCTGTGGGATGTAAGAGGAATAGCCAAAATTTATTGAGCGTATCCTATAAGCCAGGTACATCTAGGCACTTTACATGTTTTACCTTATTTAAGCTTACACTTCTGCAGAGGTAGAGACTGCTAGAATCCCTACTTTATGGATAAGAAAGATACAGGTTAAGCTAAGTACGTTAATCAAGTTCACAGACCTGGTGAATGGAGGATGATGAAAGGGGTATAAGTGGGGAAATTTGCCTGAGTAACTATAGAGATGAAAAGGCCCTGTATTCTTCACAGCTCCTGGAACTCTTCTTTTCAGTACAACTCCCAAGCTTCCAGTGAAGCCCACTGTCCCCATCCTGACTTCTGCATATGTTTGCAAAAGTGACCCACCACAGGTGATTTGTCAAGTTACCCTAGTAATTCTGCAGTACATCCCAAATCTTATCAAGGAAATAACCTATGACCTTGGGCTGGTCAGTCTCTGAAATTCAAGTTTTCTCATCTGCAAAATGAAAAAGATAGAAGAGCTTGAGGTTTTCTAAACAGTATACTGCCATGCACTTGATTATTGAGATGATGCCTCAGGTTTTGCTGCTTTGCAAAGAAAGGAGGCCAAACTGAGGGGCCACATCCTCACTTGTATCAGAGCAGCACAACTTCAAACTGCCATTTATCAGAGACCCAGATACGCAGTTCAGTGGGTTTGCCAGGTAAAAGAAGTATTCTACAGGTTAAAAAAAAAAAAAAAAAGTTTGAGAAAGATCCAAGATGTCTGAGTAGATAAACACTGTGCCTGTGTCCTTCCATGAACACATTAACATTACAACTAAATTATAGAACAGTCAACCTGGAAAACCATCTGAAACCTAGCCGAACAGAAGTCTTATGACTAAAAATATAAAGAAGAAGCCACAACGAGACTGGTAGGAGGGGCGGAGATGCAGAATGGTCCCCAAACTTCCCTGTGGTGGTTGAGAATCAAGATGGATATCTCAGCCTCAGAGGTTCCCCCCAGAGGAGCAAGGGACCTCAGACCCCCACACCAGGCTCCCCAGCCCAGAGTACTGGTGCCGTGAAAAGGAACCCCCACAACACCTGGCTGTGAAAAACAGTGCAGATTCAACCATCTGGGTGTTAGGAAGCCTGCGGGAAACCCAGCCATCTTCTTAAATGGCCCACGCACAGACTCACTCGCCCGCAGGCACTAACCTTGGGCTCCAGTGGAGGGAGGGTGACTCGGAAGGTGTCGTAGACATGCAGGGTGGCAGACTGAGGTGTGTAGCTTTAGGGGGAGGACTTGAGGACAGTTGGCATTTTCCCTGCGTGAGATCCTCCTCTTTTGCAGCAGGCAGGCAGGCACCATCTTTTCTGTGTTAAGCCCACCTCCACCATGGCCAAATCTGAATCTGATTGGCCTGATGAACACCACTGCTCCACCCCACTGATTCTGGGATCCCGCCCCACCTAACTCCCGCAGTGCCAGAGGCACTTTCTCAGAGAGCAGCCAGCTGAATTGCATTCTTTCTTGGAAAACTATTGAAGTCGAGTCTGTGTGCCACGGGCAAGTGGCGACTGGCCTCAGTGTGCTCTGCGACTTTTCCTGAGTCACTTCAGGCCCAGCACTGGCACCAAACCAGAATCTACATTAACCTGGTGATCACAACTCTTCCCACTATAGTGACTTCCTGAGATCCTGCCTCACCCAACTTGCATACCAACCGAGGCTTTATTAGCAGCTGAACCTTACAGGAGCTGGAAAGTGGCAGCAGGCCTCAGGGTGTCCTGACTTTTTGTGGAATTACCCCAGGCCTGGTACTGGTGGCAGCCATCCTCAGTTTGCAGCATGGACTCTCCTATGTGCCTCCAGGTTTACAGCCACGGATTGCTTTGTACCTCCTACCAAGTAGTCCCACAAGCAGTGGGTGACCTGTGCCTCCACTGGAGCCCCTCACAAAAGGCTCCAGAACCAATGTACTTGGAGTTTGGCTTCAGAGCACAGCAGAGCACCACCCAATTAGCCCCAGAGGTGGCAAACCAAAAGGGCGGTCTCAACAGGCATCAGAGCCCACTGGGGCAAATCTGACTCAGTGGGGTAAGCCTCCAGCACAGCAACCCATAAGCTGTGGGCGTGGCCAAACCCTACAGACAGGCTGAGGGTCAATTCCACCAACTGACATGCCAATGGCAATCAAGGGGCCAGCTGAGTGG